GAAAAGACAGCTCTTTAGGGTCCTTTTTGACCTTTCTGCCACCTACACCCCCTGGCCTAAACAAATACACACAGGTAACAGCTATAAACTCCAGGCAACACTTAAAGATGTAAGAGCAGACCTGAAGACACTAAAGAGTGACCAAAGGCAGGCACAGAGTGGAGGTGACAGTTTGACACTTGGGAAGAAGGGAATGGCATGGCGCTGGGTGAGTTTCCCATTTTTACAGCTTCTTCCATGAGCATAGGACCCAGGGTGGCAGGGGTGACTAAAATTTGGAGAGAAACCTGTCCTCTTGCTGGTTTGAAAAAACTACAGAGAATGGAGATGGAGGTGACCACAGCAGCTGGAGGGTGAAGGGGGAACTCCAGGAAGGAGCAGACAGACTAGTGGGAGCCCCAACCCAAATAATGGGCATGAATTCTGCCCAAACCTCTGGCTGACCCCCGAAAACTGCGTTGCGTGGGGCAGATGCGAAACAGCTCTTGAGGCGAACGGGCCCACAGGTGGTGCCCACATAGAGTCTGACTACATTTTTCACCAGGGACAGTGCATGAAACTGGTCATCACGCTCTGGCTTTGAGGCCCTGACCCCCAACCATGCTGCCAGAGATGGTGCATTACCCCCCAGCTCTCTCTGACCATGGGACACAAAAGGAGATGATTTTGGGGCAGAGGGGGGCACGGTCGGCAGTGCCCGGTGCTCATTTCAATCAAGTTTGTTTATTTCCTCAGCATACCCAACATAAACCAAATACTAAAAAAGCCACGTCGTGGGAAGATAATCAAATAGGAAACATTTTACTGAACAGCAGCTAGACCATCATCCACCCCTGGCTTCCTCAGGATACAGGAAGTGCATCATAAATGCTCATACACCCAGGTGTAAAGGTCTTTGTTTCAGGAGTCAGGAGCCCAGCTAGACTCCTGCTTCAGATATTTATTTGTGCAAGTTACTTATCCTGCTTCTTCATTTTAAAATGAGAACACCACCTACAGCTCACAGCCTCACTGAATTAAGTAGGATAATGTTTGAAAAGTGTTACTTTGCCCAGGGCATAGGTCCACAGCAGCCTTGAACAGAGCTGCCAAGACACCAATCTCCTTCCCAGAAAGAGGACCTCCTCCCCACATCCATCCTCCACTTGTTTAACAGGCTTCGGGAAGTGTGTGGACAGGAAGGAATACCAGACTCTGCTTAACTAAAGCACTTTCTTCCTGTCCTGACATTCCCAACCTGCACCATCTTAGAGAACAGGAAAGGAAGCTGAACTCATTCTTAAATCCAGGACGGGAAGGTTCCTGGGTGCCAGCAATGCCAATCTGTGCAAATGTTTGTTGAGTATGTATGTTTACATATGATGAGTAGTTGTACTCAGTCCAGTTTCCTCACATTTAATCTGGTTTCATTATTTCTAAAACTGTCAGAATTATTTGCTTTTTTTTTTAGCTTTCATACAATTCTTAGGAAGAATGCTCTATCATAAAGTTATATACCCAGCTATCCTACAAGTGCAGACAGAGGATAAAGCAGAAATTGAGTCCTGAACTTTATTATAAATACTTTCAGCTGCAGCCATGTCTTTTACTATGTACAACATTCAATTTTAGAGCTCACGTTCCCTCTGGGGCTGAGAGAAAAAAAATTTGATTAAAGTTTACTTTCTTGCAGAGCTTTAATGCACAGCTCTTACTTTCCAAATGTCAAAGACTGATGAAAAGACATGCAATTGCTATAAAAACTGTAAGGGAGATGTAAATGCAGGGCAGGTGGGATTCAGGAAAGCCTAGCATCCCAGACAGCCCCGACAAGGTCCAAGCTGTCGTTTCTCCACGCTTCTATTAGGGAGCTGAATATTAAAAAGTATAATGCTCAGAAGTTTGTCCTCATAGATTGTTAAAGAATAATCACAACAAAAAACCCTTTAATGAGAGATTTTAGCAAGATGGTGACATAGGAAGATCCTGATCTCACCTCCTCCCACGCACACACCATATCTACAGCTACCTATGTGACAGTTTTCTCTGGGAAAAAACCTAAAAACTGACAGAGAGACTGTCACATTGGGCAAATGAGAGGGAAGTGGCTAGAAAAGGCTCAGACAATCTCACCATAAACCCCAACCCTGGTGCAACAACCCACAGTTGGGAGGGAACTTAAAATCTCCTCAAAACCCGGACCTTCCCCAGGAGTGAAAGGTTTGTACCCCACATAGGTCACCCCAACTTTTAAGGTCTGGCACCTGAGAGACAAGCCCCTAAAACATCTCACTTTGAAGGCCAAGAGAGCTCACGCCCAGGAGATCTGTGGTCCGTGGTGAACTGGGGAACAGTTCTTAGAGCACTTGTGTGCACACTACCCACCCCAGGGCTCAGGGCAGAAGCAGTTCTTTCCAAATCACTGACTTTATGTTAAAGAGACTAATTTCCTAATTTTAAGGCACTGGTCTGAGGGGCAGGGCCACTGGGATACCCCCCGGAATATACAATGGAAAAAGGACAGTCTCTTCAAAAGTGATGTGGGTTCATTTCTGGGCTCTCTATTCTGTTCCACTGATCCAGATGTCTGTTCTTGTACCAATACCATGCTGTTTTGATTACTGTAGCTCTGTACTATTGTCTGAAGTCTGGGGGTGGGGGTTATTCCTCCAGGCTCCTTCTTTTTCTTCAGTAATGCTTTAACAATTCTAGGTCTTTTGTGGTTCCATATAAATTTTATGATTTGTTCTAGTGGAAAAATTGGACAGCAGTAAGTGAAAAATGAAACTGGACCACACCATACACAAAAATTAATTCAAAATGGATCAGACGTGAATATAAGACCTGAAATCATAAAACTCCTAGAAGGAAACATGGGGGTAAATTACTTGACATTGGTCTGAGCAATAAATTTTTTTTTTTTGCATTTGACACCAAAAATGAAAATCAACAAAAGAAAAAAATGAAGGAGTACATCAAACTAAAAAGCTTCTGCACAGCAAAGGAACCCATTAACAAAATGAAAAATCAACCTACTTCAATAAGTTGATGGGAGAAAGTATTTGCAAATCACATATCTGATAAGGGGTTAACGTCTAAAATATATAAAGAACTCATATAACTCAACAGCAAAAAAATGAACAACCCAATTAAACATAGGCAGAGGATTTGAAGAGACTTTTTCCAAGAAACATATAAAGATGGCAACCAGGCACATGAAAAGATGCTCAACATCACTAATTCTCAGAGAAATGCAAACCAAAACCACAATGAGATAGAAACTCACACCTGTTAGAATGGCTATTATCAGCAGGACACAAATGACAAGTGTTGGTGAGGATGTGGAGAAAGGGGACCCTCACGCACTGTTGGTGGGAATGCAACTTGGGGCAGCTGCTATGGGAAACAGCATGGGGGTTTCTCCAAAAAGTAAATATAGTACAACCATATGACACAGCAATCCCACTGCTGGGTATTTATCTAAAGAAAACAAAAACACTACTTTGACATTTAATGACATTTAGTGATGAAGTAATGTCAAGCTACTTTCACACTTTTCTCGCTGTCTAAAGTCAAAACAAGAAGCAAGATCTCCATTTCCATAAAAAAAACTGCAGCAGTGATATTTTCTGAGCTCAAACTACATGTCTAGCAGTATTTACCTGCCTCAATGTAAGTGCAAAGGATATTTCTACATTTGCAAATCCTTTAACTGTGCAATTGACCTGTGCAAAGGGGAATTTCATGTTTCAAAAGCCTTTCACTTCTACCTAACTTTCAATTGGAAGTGATTAATCTGCAATGAAACGACACGCCAAAAGGCAAATATCCAAAGAAGAATCTAACAAAATTCTACAAATGTCTCTGAAGAGAGAAACATGCTCAATTAAAATTGTACACTTATAGCGTGGTATCTCAGTATTTGGCAGTACCTACTTGTGTGAAAAGGTATTTTCAAAGATGATGAAATCCATGAAACCTAATTACAGATCAGAACACTTTCCATTCAATGGTGATAACTGGAATACTAACTTTGCACTTCAATTAAGCAAAATGTTATTCCCTCAAAACAATCCAATTCCTCTTCATTAGTAGATCTGTACCACACAAAATTGTACTCTATTACTATGTATCGAATGTCCTCGATAAAAAATTTGTGAAAATTTGCTTTTCCTCTTGTTATTTAAGTACCTGTGTAATACCGTCAATTCTGTCTCTTGATCTGCAAATTTCACTATCTGGCCCTTTACAGAAAAAGTCTATTGAGCCCTGCTCTAAGTCAGTGGTTTCCAAAGCAGTTGTTCATCAAAATCTTGGGTATTAAAAAAAATACAAAACTGGTTCACTTGTTAAAGTTTTAGTTTCACAGGTAGGTTGCCACCATGGGTCTGTAGTCACTCCATTCCCTTAGCGTGAATCATCTTACAGCTGCAACCAATAGTATCCTAACTTCCAACAGAGAGAAACAGAGGACTAACACACAGAGGATGCCTACAGTTTAATTAAGCAAGCTGTTGACAAAGTTGGGTAAAACTCTTAGGATTCTTGACTCCTGATTGTTTTGGTCAAGTCAGTTAAAATAAATTTATTTTACTGACAAGGGACCCAGAGAAATCATTTTGAACAACATGGGTATAAAGATAGAAGAGTAAAACACCATTTTCCTCAGCTTAGTTATAAAGGCAACAGTCCCTTTGTGTCTTCAATGAGTACCAGCAACAGACCTGTCAATAAAA